ATTCGAAGAGGTGAACATAAAGCAATGGTACTGAACTATCAATTTTTCATCAAAATAGTCCTTTTCAAGAAACGACGAACGGTTGAGACGTACTGCGAGGAATCATCCGACATATGCTACACGATAGAAGACCGTCCACTGCTGGAAAATAACAAGTAAGTAAGTAAATAAAATAAAATGGATTTGTAATGATTATTCGACATAGTACATTAATGTTTTATTGAAGAGATGACTTGTTCTCGGATGCGTCAAAAGATTTTCACCACCCTCTCCTGTTTCCATTCCACGATTTTATTCCAAAAAATATTATTTCTGCTTCGGTGATATTATTAGACTTCCCGCTGTTGCCTTGCGAATCTTTGGTCTTACACGCACTGCAGCCAAATAATGCAGCATGTATGTGAATAAATAACATAACTTTCTAGTTTGGTTGTACAACGCGTTCTGCTCTACAAGGATGTTGATCGACCACCTATTTTCACGGTCGAGTTGGACACACCTGCAGGTTTGTGAGAATTCCGATTTCAGGTCTATTGTGATTTTAGTGTTACTATGGTTATAGTATGCTCAAATATGTAGGAGGTTACTTCTTACAGTCGCGCAAAGGAGCGAAACTGAAGCTGCATTCATACATTGTGCCAGCGCCACCAACGACCTCTACCGTTCCGAAAGTTCGGCAGCGTCAGTGACCAGAAAAGTATAGTATCGTTCTAGCGTCTTTCAGCGTCTGTCAGCGTCTGCCAGCGTTCACCAGCGACCGGGAGTAGAGAGTATGGGGAAGTAGGAAGGTAGCAAACAGCTGGATTAGGCGTCATGAAATTGCGGCGTGTGCAACCGGCACGCAACTACCCTCAAGAATTGCATACTTCTGTGCTTTGACTGTTGGGCGGTGCAGTTGCACATGCCGCATATGCACGCCGCCTAGTCCAGCGGTTTACTACCCTCCTAGTTCCCTACTATCTACTCTCGGTCGACGTTGAACGCTGGTGGACGCTGGCAGACGCTAGATCGATATCTATGCTTTCCTAGTCGCTGACGCTGCCGGACGCTCGGAACGCTAGTGGTCGCTGGTGGACGCTGCCGCAAAGTGTGAACTCATCCTAAGCGGACTCGCTCACGATATTGACCTTTTCTGTATGCGAGATGCCCTATGTCGCTTGCTTAAAGCCCGTGTTCGATCCTGGAATGTGAAACAAACTTCCAGCAGGAACACATGATCATTTCCTGCGCGATTTATCTGAAAATCTACGGCTTGTTTTAAGTTACACCAGATGTGGAGCCCGTTCTCGTGATTGAATCAAAAGCTGTCCCCCATTGCCTACAAACTTGTTCGCCTTGCGGGAGTGATGTAGCGTGTCCAACGAGGCGTAGCAGGTTTGCGGTACGCCCGCCAGGCCGGCTTCTCCCACCGTCTTTCAAACGGGTACGCACATAGAGGCATCTAGTGGAAATCAAATGATAAGAGCAAATGATTCAGCTTTATCGCTTGCTGAAAGAAAAAAAGAGCTGGTGCCGCGCCCAACCCATCCCCTCTTGACGCGCCCTGTCATCCGTACGAACAGACTGTCGTGCTGTGTGGATCCCTTGAAATGTAAGACTTAGTGATAGCGAGACACTAATTCTTGTCTTTGTCCCATATAATCTCTTGCTAACATTCAAATCGACGTCCTTGTGCTCTCAATCCTTTGGGCCTTAGAATCCTGCGAAACGACATACTTGGGTCCCAAAGCCATAGAGACTCGAGTTCATCTCACCTCATAGGGTCATAATGACAACAAAGTGTGAACCACATCGATACCTAAACGGCCACACCACCATCAGGACAGTCTTTGGGAAGTGATACACAGGTAACTCAGCTCTGGTAATCACGTAGCTGGCGGAGCACTCTATGCCCTCTCGAACTCGACGACGATGGCCTCATCTTCTCACGACGATGGAGGCAGTTGTAAAGGCTCACGCTCATGGAGGAGCATCTTGGGCGTATTCCACAATGAGTCTAAGGCTGCGTTCATACTTAGACCACACTCTCTATACGCGGTCGCTGGTGAACGCTGGTGGACGCTGCTGCACGCTGCTGGACGCTGCCGCAAAGTATGAACGCAGCCTTATCCATATCCTTATCCAGAGCATCTCGGGCGTATTCACACTGGGTTTAGCATGTGCCCTGCCACCCTGTGCCACGTAAACTTTGACAATGCGCGCCAAAAGTAAGTGCCTCTTTTTGACCGCACCTTTTTACCGGCATATACTCAAACCCCTGCACATTATGAGTATGTGTAAAGGCGATTGACCTTTCTCTCATAAATCAGGGCACATTAGCTGGGGATTTAGGTCAAGTCCGTACGACCTCCCCCTTTTTTTAGGAGTTGTACGATGCTCATGGTTCCCTCCTCATGTAGATTTCGAGCGGGAGGAGCGGAACGGAAATAGAACATGTGAAATGAGAAAAACCGTGAGGAAAATACAGTACGACTTCCTTCCTACCATTTCTCAGATGTAACCCAACTTCTACCATTTTTCGGAACTTCCCGAAGTTCAGAAGGGAAATACGAGCCCCTCCCTCCTAACAACGAGCGAATACAATCCCATCCCCTTCACAACGTCACTAAAAAAGAAATCATCCATCAAGGATTTTTTTCAGTCCCAGTACGACCTCCCCTCCCGGCAACCAAAAGCGACAACCCTGTTGGGGAGTCCCCAACAACGATGTGCTCCCTGTAATGAATTCACTTTCATCACATCTTGCAGAACTCACAAGGAAGAATTTCGATCCTCGTCAATGGTCTATCAACAAGCTGTTTGTCCCCAACTTTTATACAAGAATAATGATAGCAATGAGTTTTGTATTGGAGGTATTGAGCTGGATCTGCTTTGCTTGATGTTTTCCAGAGAAAGTTTCATTTCTGTTATTTTAGGCGTTGCAATTCGATCCAACGGATTTGCAAAACGTTCTATTGGTAGGTTTAGGTGGCGGGACTCAGAACAACTTTCTCAGTGAGGTGGATTTCATAAATGTGCGTAATTCCTAACTACTTTTATTGATTTCAGTTTTGTATGCACACTGTGGCCTGAGCCATCTACTTCGAGTGAAAAATCAAAGACATCAAGGCAGTGAGCACGATGGGTGGGAGCGGGCGGTTGCCTCCAACGTCATTCGTGGAAGGGCTGCGAGAGGCCTTTGGTAACACCCATCGCAGCCCTTCCACCAATGACGTTGGTAGTAACCGCCCGCCTCCAGCTATCGTACCCTCTGCCTTCAGGTGGTTTGTAGTGCTTGAACTTTCAAGATAGTTCTATCTTTGCATTTGAGGTGAACCTAACAACAGTAGAACCGAATCCGCTCATGGTGACTGACTATGGCAACAGACTGGTTTGGACTAGTAGAAACCCGAACCAACAATGTGTTCGTGGAAGATTGGATGGATTTTCTTCATGGAGCAGCTCAACGTGGTATATTTCTTGTTATCACTATTAATTGAAGTGACTCATTTTCCAAGAAGGGGATGAAAAGGGGGAAATCTTCGCCGATCAATCTCTTTGCACTGAGGCACGCATGATACTTCCATTCGGGATAGTAATTACGAGTGCAACGTGACCTATAAGGCTGCGTTCATACTTTGCGGCAGTGTCCACCAGCGTCTAACGGCGTCCTCCAGCGATCACTAGCGTTCTGAGCGCTCGGCAGCAACTAGGAAAGTATAGATATCGAGCTAGCGTCTGTTCAGCGTTCGCCGGCGTCTACCAACGGCCTGGAGTACAGAGTAAAGGGAAGTAGGAGGGGAACAAACAGTTGGATTAGGCGTCGTGAAATTTCGACTTGTGCGATCGCACCGCACAACTGCAGCACAGAGTTATGCAACGGTTAGTGTAGTTGCACGGTGCGGATTGCACACGCCGCAATTTCACGACGCCTAATCCAGCTGTTTGCTACCCTCCTACTTCCCCATACTCTCTACTCCCGGTCGCTGGTGAGCGCTGGTAGACGCTAAATCGATACACAGAATCTACTACTAATTCACAGTTAGCGGAGAGACGGATGCTTTCTTGGCTCAGGCGAGAGCCAGTCCGGGATCTAGCGTCTGGACCGCTCTCGTGGTGAGCGGACCACTTCTAACCGTACCACCTCCGGCATTTGTATGTATGTAAACTTCGGAATGTTTTCAAAACGTGAAACGAAATGTTTCACACGAATTCAGCGAGCAGGCCGCTCATGAAAGGTCTCTTTAGCCAGTGATGCAATCATTGTAAATGAATGCAGTTTTTCAGGTTGGCCAGAAAGAAGCCTGAACTACAAGATTATTTGATAGTTACGGAAGCTCGAGCTAACATATTGATCTGCTTTCAGGTGAGAAATACAAATCAATCATTTTTGACAATTGCAACCAGAGGCACTGCCCGACTATGGATTTAATGACGCCGACTGTAATTCAGAGCATCGCAAGAATACTCGATGATGACGGTGAGTGACTCCCAAGATTAATTTTCGATTACAGTTTCCACTAAAGGAAGAAGCACGCAGTTTGCACCTCATACAGAAGTTAATGGTGCCTGTACTCCAAGTTCGTTGTGTGGGCGGACTTGGTGTACCATTGTACTTCTCTCATTGGCGCGCTCCTTGATTTAATATGCAATAGGATGAGGGGCGTGCCAAGCCACACTGGTAGGCTTAGCTCCGCCCTCACGGAAACGCGGAATGCGTCTTCCAATGGATGCACGGGGAGGCGCGCATGCAGAAGCTCATGTAAGCATTCAAAACTGTTGAAAGCGTAATCTCAAAGAACCCAGTTAAGGCGTGCTCACGGTGAACATCGTCAGCTCAAAGAGATTACTCAACAGATGGAGAGGACGTTATTTCAACTATCGAAATGCATTTTTCCTCGTGTTTTCTTTTGCGCTACAGTGGGACACAAAGGGTGAGTGACACCGGCAAACAGCTGCCAAACTGACTGATTTCCAGTAATTGTTTTCTTTGTTTAGTTGCTCCTTTGTACTCATAGAGAAGGATGGAGCTTTCATGAGCAGAGGACGCGCTTCACGCAGAATCTTCGTAACGTTGACGATCGCTTTGATTTCGGAATCGCTGACTTCGTCCTTAGAGATTTTTAAGAGAATTTTAAGATTATCAATGATGTCTTTCCTCTTTATGAGAAATATGTAGGTAATTACTTGCTGCATGTTAGGTTGATTGAAAGTTTTATGTTTTTGTGTTTGTGATTATCAGGGGGATGGTTCCAACTTCCTACTTCTTCTGACTTCTCGACAGGACATGGTTATGGGATATGATATCGGCATTGGAAGGGGTCGAATTATCTACAGGAACGAAGCTCTAGTCAAATCGAGACTCTCAAGTATAAGTAAAGCATAAGTTGATTACGTGTGCTTAAGGCATATGTGAGATAAAGGCAGAACTTACTGTGTATACAAGATCCAATTTTTATCAACTATGAAAATATAAGACCGAGATTGATTTTCAATAACAGCAATTAAAGGCACGGTCTGCGATCCATGTATAGAATTTGAAAATGTGGCGTCTAGAGGGTAGCGTGGTTCAAGGCAAACAACCTTGTACTCGAGGAAAAAAATTATAAGGGTGGAGCGCTATAGCGCATACAGGTCATGCCGCCTTCGTTTCTCTCAGTGACTCTGCTCAGACTCCGCCATTCAGGGCCCGCTGTCTAAGGAAAAAACGAAGGCGCAGGACGGAAAAGCATGAAAATTCCTCACTTCGGGAACTTTCTTATAGGGAAAGCTAGCTGTCCGCTGAGGGCGTAGTGTTGGATATGGAGTTAATGGGCACTCACAAACTGGGATCGGAATAAGGCTCTATCTTGGGCAACAGGCACATTTTCTGCTTTTTTCACTATCGAGTCTCACTCGGAGCCTTGTCGTCTATATGCAAACCCCTCATCCACTATCTAATGTAAGATGACGAATGATCGCGGACCTACTCGTCGTCCAGTCTCGAGAGAGCCAGCACGCCACACCTTAATATCCTGCTGGAAATACGGTGTCTGGCATGTGACAAAAAGCAGAAATGTTTCCTGTTAACTCCAGTTAGCGGCCCTGAAGTTGAAAGGTCTCTTCCGCGACGTAAACTGGTTTTGTTTCACAAGAACGACTTAATGGAATGTGAACCACTTCTTGTGTTCGCTGAACCATTTTGAAGACACTAGTGGAGTCAGACCAACGCCGAGCCTTTAATAATCTTTGTGAGCTTCTTCTTGAAGACACATAAAGTAAAAAAACGGCCTCAAAGCACTATTGAGGGTGTATGAGATATCAGCCCCCATAGATGTGTCGTGGTCCCCCCCCAAACATGCCCAGGAATGGAGATACAGGACCGTGAAACACGCTAATTCCTCCATGCTCCGCCTTACACCTTTTGCGGCGCAGATTCCCGTCCTTCATAACATCCGTGCAAGCGCGCGTGTCCGGCGTGCGCGTTCCTCGGCATTTGCGCAAGTTCTTAAAGGCAGCGTCCGCGATCAACCAAAGTGAAAAAACCCTCCAATGAAAACGAACGCGGAGTACGCAACCATAGCGGATATCCCACTCTTGCGGCTCGAAATGTATTGATTGACGAGGGCGGAGTCAACAAGGCTGAGCTGACGCCTCCTTCCCTGTTAATCCCGCCCCGACTGGTTAACAGTTATCAGTGCTTGCTGGCATTGATAAACGCTAAGTTTCTGGAGTTCCGAGGCGGCGACGTGTATTGGAGAACTCACCAAAGGTCTGCGAAACTCGTCCACATGCCTTAAATTTCGTAGGGTCTTATTTCACGCTCTTCCACACCTTTTTCCTACTTTTTTTGATTAGTGCTTCATTGGCCACCTGTTCTAACAAATTTGACCCCTGAGACCTGCCAAAGTCCATCGCGGGCGCTGTCTTTAATTGCGCTTTCAAATACAAGTAAAACGCAATTTCCTGATGCGGATAACATTGGAGGTGCTGCAAAATAAGAACAGAAGATGATGACGAGGGTCAGAACTTAAAAGCAACTGTGCCACTTCTGCAACATCCCTCGGAGGCTCGGAGGCCACGTATTTCCACGAAACATGAAAATAAAAACGGCATACTCGTTAGTTTAATACAAGCAAAACGCAATTTCCTGATGCGAATAAAATTTTAGGTGTTGCTCATGCTTCAAAATCCATGTACAAGGAGATGAAGATGACACAGGCTAGAAATGAAGCCAGCAACGATGTAAATGTAAATAAAACAAAATGAAAAAATCAAGGAAAGGCAAATTAGAAAATTGGCCTGTAAATTTCTACGATCCGGCGCGAATCCGGCGCCAAAGCCATAGAAATACTTAGAATAAACGAGTGGGACGCTTGGATTGTTTTTATTCTCATGTTTTCTGGGAATGCGCGGCCTCTGATGGATACTGCAGATACTTAAATAAATAAATAAATATAAAATAAATACGAGTTGCTCTTGAGTTCTGGCCCTCGTCATCATCTTCTGTTCTTATTTTGTAGCACCTCCAATGTTATCCGCATCAGGAAATTGCGTTTTACTTGTATTTGAGAGCGCAATTAAAGGACTTGGCAAAGTGCCAAGGAGCCGCACGCGACACGCGCGCTTACGACGGATGTTATGAAGGACGGGAATCTGCGCCGCAGGCAAATAAGGTGTGAGGCGGAGGCCTGGATGATTTGACGTGTTTCACGGTCCTGTATCTCCATTCCTGGGTACGGGGCCGGGGGACCACGACACATCGACAGCTGGGGGCTGATAGTCTCATACACCCTCAAATCGGTGTTTGAGCGTACCCTGCTGACTGTTGAGGGCTTGTGTGGTGAGCGCTGCCTCTTCGGAAATAGAGCTTTCACTTAGTGGTCACTTTCCATCAAACCCTCGGCTTAAGCTGTTCCGCAACTGAAAGGCGGCATTCGTGGCATGGTGCCCTTTGATAAGCTTGGCCTGCCCGCGGCAATCATTTTCCTATGCGTCCCCAGATTTCGGCCCATACGGGGCCGTGGTGTAACAAATCAATAGAGAGGATGAAATATGAATCATTTCAGAAGGTAACTACAGGGGTCCCTGAAGATATAAATATAAAATTTTATTTAGTTATCATCAATGCTATTCTAGTTATCCTTGGTGAAAGAAGACCAGAATGACTGATGCGACAATGTTGAGAAAATGATTACTGATAAAAAATTGAGAAAAATGAAAAGAAAATTGAGAAAATGATTAGTGATTACTTCTTGTTCCCCAACCTCAAAAAAGAAGGCGGGAGTTAGCGCCCTTTATGAGGACAAAGATGAAAACATTTTTGAGAGGGTATCAAAATTTAGTTTCCGAATTTAGTTTATTGAGGTTACAGGGGACTGAACTGAAGATAAATTTTCTTCGAGTTTTTTGCCCTTTCTTTCATACCTGGGTAGGAGGTAATGTAGTGGCAAGTGGCGCGCTGACCATTCGCGCGGTCCTGGGTTCAAATCCGCGGGTCGACTTCCCGCCTGGGCCAAGGCTTCTACCTGTACGGTAGATTGGCACCAGATTTGTCTGGGAGGATAATAACACTGACTACGCTACATCGGCTGGCCCCCGCAAGTCATTGTATAGGCCACATCGCATTCAATAAGCCACTACGATTCTGAATGGAAGTAGAATGCGTGCCGCATCCCACAAAGGGATTGATCAACGGCGAAGACTTTATCCTTTTTATCCTTTCCTTGCCTTTTTATCCTTTTCTCCATACCTATGCCGTAAATTCATTGAACACCCCTCGTACCTCATTCTGTTCAAGAGTGAGCTGACATATTGATTTTTTAGATATTTTTAATTTTGTTAGACGTGCCTACATGTACTTTATGACTTTTCGAATCAGTTCTCCTTCCCGCCGTTGTTCGATCCGGCTGATTTGATAAGTTTATAATTTCTTTAGTTTTCTTAATCTATAGTATTTCAAGTTTGATTTAGCATGTATAGCCATCGAAAGCAAATTCTTCAATATATTACTGCACTGTAGCATGGAGGTCAGTGTGGTCGCAAAAGCCTCTACCTTCAGGACATATAATGAAAATCAGCTCTGATGCATATGGTGAGAGTGTCTGATGCGTAGAGCTATGCATGAACACCTGCAATATGTAAATATCACATATTCTGCACTGGCGTTACAGTCATCGGCTACTGGCGGCAGATTTGATATCAATATTACGTCCCAATCCTGCATATTGGTATGAAGGAAAAAGCCGAAAATTCTGAATAAAATTTATTTTTCAATGTAGTCCCCATAACCTCAATACACTTGTTTGCTCGGGAAACTAACTTTTCAATACCCTCTAAAAATATTTTTCCTCCTTGTCCCCAAAATGTGCGTTAATTGCCGCCTTCAGCTCTTCATCGGCAGAAATACGCTTTCCACGACGATCTTTGTTTAGGTTGCAGGACGAGAATAATCATTTTCCCAAGTTCCTTTTCATTTTTCTCGATTTTTTTATCAGTAATCATTTTCCCTAGTCTAGTTTTCTCTAGTTCTCTTTGTCATCAGTCATTCTGGTCTTCTTTCACCAGGGATAATGAATAGCATTGATGATGCCGGAATGATTTTGTATTTATACCGTCAGGGAATGTCGTTGCCTATTCGAATGATTTAAATTCTTCACTGCTAACTTA